ACAAACTCGCCAGTCCGAACTTAGTCAGAGAGTGCAAGGTTAACCTTTACCTTTCAACCAGCTGCCTACTGCTTGCTCAGATCAAAAAGTGTAATTTATTAGGTCACTTTAACTTGCTAAGTCGATGATAGACAGAAATCAAAAGATCACAGATGATGTGCCTACTGCTCCATTCATCCATGAGCCTTCAGTTTGCTCTATCCTGGACACAGATTTGAGGTAACATCAGCCTCCCCTGCAAACAAGCCTGCACCGGCCCTTTACGGGCCCACTTAGGGCTAGTCCAAGGGCACCCAGCGGGCTGCCAGCGCAGGGCCTCAGAGATTTTGCTCATTGGCAAAACGTTGGCCCCTTAGTGCTGGCCCTGCATGGGCAGCCCTCACTTAGCCAACAATATTAATCTACTACAGGGGTGCCCAACCTGGTCTTGATCAAACACAACTGAACCAACTAATTAGGATCTGAAGGAGCACTTGATAATTACAGACAGGTTTGTTTAATCAGGGTTGGAACTGAACTCTGTAGGAAGGTAGATTTCCAGGAACAGGATGCACTCCTGATCTATAACAATACATCTGTTTCACTTTAAATACTTTTCAGCTACTATAACTTAAGTCTTTGGGGAAAACAGTTATTATACATCTGAAATGAATTAGGGGTGTAAATTGGATGGTTCGTCATGATACGATACGATATCGATTCTCATACCCAGCGATACAATATTTGCCGATACCTCAAAAAATGCTACGATACGATTACGATTCGATTCGATACAGTATATCGATCGATATTATGATAGTATATACCTATTTTAAACCACCATCTACATTTTTATTAACTCACAAATGCAACCAAAATATATAACATCAACATTTATCTGAAATTTTCACATCCTGTACCCCAATTGGGACATTCACAACAAAAAAATAGGCCTACACTTTTTTCTTTTTTTTTTTTATAATAATAAAGAAAATCAACCATTGGAAAAACAATTCTGGCTGCTACTATGGGCTCAGTGCTAAAAATCTTTTCTACAGATAACCAAATTACAAGTAATAGCAGAAAATAAATACAATACAACAAAGACACAAGTTCAATAATAAACAGTGCTTTTCAGGTTTTTCAGCTCAGTCTAAAATCAATTTTCAGGTATGCTACAGAAATGTAATAATCAAATGTAAAATAAGTGCATTGTTACAGAGGAGGCTCCCGTACCGCCTCCTCCGCACCACCAGAGGGAACTGTCTCCCGAATATTAGCCATTCCCATTCGGACTCCAAATCCCATCACCCCCATGCCTGGGACTGATTAATCATCCACACCTGCACCTCATATACACACACACATATAAACCACTCACACACACAGACTCTCTGCGAAGTCTTGATTTGCCCTGGCTGTCATTTCCGAGCGTTTACCCGTTTTTGATTTTCTGTGCATCTGTTCTTGGACTGTTTCCTGTTACTCTGATTGTTATCTGCCTGCCCCGACTTGGATTGTTTCACCTGGACTCTGTTTGCTTGCCGCCTGCCCCGATCTCTTGCCTGGTACATGACTCTGTCTCAGCCTTGCCTCTGCTGTTCTCCCTTGCCGGTATTGACCCTGTATTGTCTGACTATTCTAATAAAGCTGCAAATGGATCCACATGCTTCTGACTTGTCACAACATGCATAGTCTTCAATGTATAAATTAAATATAGATTAATCATTTTTGATGTTACAAAGGTTATTTAGTCAGGAGCAGTGAGCACTTGTATTTTTCTTTGACTGCATTAGATTTATTATTCGTTTGCTTTCATTTTAAGAAGGAAAGCACAGATTTAATATACTGATACACATGCCTTTTCTTTCTCAACTCTTTACGTTAAGATGCATGCCTAACCGACTGTGTTTTCTAGGATATTTGCCAAAACGCACATTTTGAAGTAATTTTGTCTGTATTTATTCATCCATGCAAAAAAAGCTGAAGAGAGCTCAATTTAGTATTTGCATGGTGAATGCATGCGTTGGCGGTAATGCTTAGACGGACATTATTTGAAAATGTGGACAGTGCCAAAATAAAGGTGCCTATTAATACTACAAATATCGATATTTTATGCGTGGCATCGATGTATCGATCCATATCGATGAATCGTTACACCCCTAAAATGAATGCAGTCACCACATAACTAATGTCTATATTGTCAAAAATGTACAGCAGTCAAAAGGGTTTTCAACATAGTCACAAAACGAATTCAACATAGTCACACATGTAACTTGAAATTACTGGACCATTCCAGTGTTACAGTTATTCTAATTTCACACAAGGCATGTGGTCTAAAATGCATAGCATCTACAAACCAACATTTACAGCAAAGTAATCATGTATTCTAAAGAATAATCCTGACTAGTCTATGTGCACATGTAGTAGCACAAACAACTAGAATGTGTTCTTTGAGCACATTTGAAAATAAAAATAAATGCATACCTGACAGTAGAGAGACACACAACAGTATGTGAGAGGTGAGATTTCTAGTGCAGAGCTCCGGAGACTAACACACACTGTGTGGGGGTTTTCTGATTACAGAATCCCAAATTACTATAATGCCACTTCCCTTATATATCCAATCCAGAATACACACCCCTCAGAAGCAGAACAGAATTCTTAAAAAAGTTTTCAATCTATCTCATAATTTAAGTGACTGCTGTGAAATTGAGATCATTTTACAAACTGCACAGAGACCTTTACAATGATACTAAACATGAAGGAAAAAACAAAAGATTCTCAAAATAGTTCATATGTGGTATATAGATATTCTTAGTGAACTTTCAGTGAAGCCTGATGGGGGAGAGGGGAGAAAGGGGATCATAAATGAGTAAGGAGAGAAGTTTGGGCAAGGATCTTTTTGGAGATCTCTTCTCCAGATTAGTTTAGTTTTATTGTTTTGTTGCATGGCATTTGTCTTTAATGAAGAATCATCATTTATGGTGCTTTACCACTGCTTCCACTGCAGTTTAGTACTGCTTCAAAGTGGGTGGGATTATATAACTAATAGTTATAGTGTTAGCAATCGAGAAAAACTGAAATGCAAATTACTAACTAGTTGTATCCTAAAGATAAAAAATTAATTCTGAGGTTAACAGATAAATGTATGACAGTATAAATAGCGGCTCGTGACGCCGGAAGACAGAAGAACACAAAACGCTACAAAAGGCCGGAGCTCCAGAAGGTGAATAATGAAAATTATTTATTGACTGTGTGTGATCATTTGAAATGAAAGGTAATTTTGATAGTAATAATAAAAATTGTGACACTACAATAAAAATTAAATTATTGATTTCAATGAACACAAATAGAGAAAAGCACAGAAACACATGCTCACTCAGCAGGACTCACACACACTGATCTTACTGTCTATATGAGGATTTATTACACATTTATTCTGACATGTTATTTCACTGACAGAAGTTCAGCTGCAGTATTAATGTCATGAAGAGAAAAGAAGAGACTCTATAACATCTCACTGTTACTGATTCATCATGCAGCTCAAAGCATTATGGGTAGAATGAAAGGCAATCTATTCTGATTCATCAACACAGTTTCACTGATGATCCAATAGAAACCCAAAACCCCAGATAAAGCGGCTGAGTGAATGTGGTCTGGACTGTGTGGATGAGGCTCATTGTATCAGAGATGCTGTAGAAGGACAGAGTTCCTGCACTGTGATCCACAAACACTCCTATTCTACTGCTGATAGACTTCACAGAGAGAGCAGTCTCTATGTTATTGTGTCTGAATGAGTATCTGGAGGAAAAGCAATACAAACTCCAGGACTTATTGTTATTTCCAAACCCACAGGAATTAAGCCAACTCTTCCTGCTGATGCTCTTATATGACACTGATATACACACACCTTCATCTCCACTCCACTCAATCTCCCAGTAACTGCGTCCACACACACTCTCTCTACACAACACCTGATAATTCACATAAAATCTGTCTGGATGATCAGGATACGGCTGATCTGTGTCAGTGCCAGTAATCACTCTGTTGCTCTCAGACAGACGGAGTCGTTTATTCACTGTGTTCAGATCCAGAGTAAGCTGATGGGAATCTGATGGAGATAAAACACATCAGAATCAGAAATTATGAATCTGTTTGATATTTTCATGTATCTGAACTCTTCATGTTCAGTGTATCATCAGTGTCTCAGATGAACAGATATTCTCCTCAATCCAGCACTTTCACAGCATCAGCTTCATTCTTCTCATATTCATTATATCACATTAGAGCTACAGATTCTAATATTTGACACTTACACTCTGTGAACTTTCTAGGAAATAGTTTGGATGATAAAACATGCTGAGAACATAAATGTCCATCTAACTGCTCAAGCACATCAATGGAGTCTCATTGTAGGGTTGAGTAGATTTGCTCAGGAAAAGCAGCTCAAAGGCTACGATTAGATTGACCATTATTTATAACTTTAGAGCAGTTAAAGACACTGAAGCTTCACAAGGACCCTTAAGACACGCTCTGGTTTGGTTTGGTTTGGTTTCAATACGTTGTAGCCTTGCTAATATACAGCCTTACTTCATGTTTGGGGTCTTCATGGTCAAATTCATCAATGTGTTACAGACAAATAAAAAATATATTTTATCAGGTTTGAGGATCACCTGATTCAGTTTTGATAAATGTTACTCAGAATCAGTACTATTGAGTTCACTGATTTAACCATGACGTAATAAATCAGAAGGAAAAATTAGGTAAAAAGCTGAAATGTGGAAATGGGAAAAAGTGATGTTTTGAACTGTTGCTGGCGCTAGTGGTGTTTGACAGCTAAATATATCTTCCAGAAGAAAGAGCTCAGAGAAATGATTTCCAGAGCTGAAAGCCATTTGTAAGCGGTGTCTCTTTCAGAAGAAGATGATCAGATGAGAGTCTGACTGATGATTATATAATAAGACAGTCATGAAATGTTTCTCTGTGAGTCTCTGTCACAGCAGAATCTGCTCAAGTCCACTATGATCCTGTTCTTCTAGATCTCTGTTACCTGCAGGAACTGGATGTGATCCTGTGTGTGTGAAAGCTGCTCCAGCTCAGCGTCTCTCCTCCTCAGATCATTGATCTCCTGCTCCAGTCGCTCCAGTCGTCCTTCAGCTCGACTCACTGCAGTCTTTTCCTGATCTCTGATCAGCCGTATCAGCTCAGAGCGGCTTCTCTCAATGGAGCGGATGAGCTCAGTAAAGATCCTCTCACTGTCCTCCACTGCTGTCTGTGCAGAGCGCTGTTAGGACACACAGTGATTCAGGCTTCAGTGAGTCTGAACTGAGACGGAGACAAACTTCTCTTCTTCTCCAGACTCACCTTATGAGACTCCACAGCCTCTCTCAGCTGCTGAAGATCTTTCTCTCTCTGCTGGATTCTCTGCTGGAACGTCTTCTGCGTCTTCTTCAGCTGCTTCTGCAGGACAAACGGATGATAGTGAATGTCACAGAAAACTACTGGCTCTAAATCATGACGTGAACAGATGAATCCAGTAAACATAGGGTGAGGCAGTTTAAGGTTCAAAAGTTAGGTTCAAACTCCAGAAGTCATGATCGGTTACAATCATTGTACATGAATTAACATGAAGATTAAGGCTTGTTTTACACTGCAAGTGTAAGTATTATAAAAGTGAAACTAACACAGACATAGAGCTTCACACTCTTTTTTGTGTTCTGTGTAATTAAGCTGTGGCTCTACACAGAAAATAAACAGAATATTGGATCACTGCACTGAGTATTAACTTAATTGCTAGTTTTAAATACCTGTTTCTCTGTCCTCTGTGCTGCAGCTGATACAATGTCGTGGTTTTTATGTTCAATAATTGTACACATCATACATATACATTCGTCAGTGTTGTGCATCATTCAGATGAACTGAGAACACCTTTAAATTACAAACCAGTGAATGATTTTGAATTGAGGGAGTAAATGGGAGGGTCTCACCTCAGTCGTGGTATTGAAGGTGGAAGAGAGCGCTGGTCATTCACTCCCCAACCTACAATCCCTGCCGGTACGAGAATCGAACCCAGGACCTTTGGGTTACAAGTCCGACTCTCTAACATTTCACATCTTGGTGAAAACTATTTCTACACATTTTTGTGTGTGTGTGTGTGTAAACCTGTATAATCTTATTTTAAATGTATTTTTAATATAAAAAAAATAAAAAATACACGTATTAAGGTAATTGTAAGAAGTCCTTTTATAATGACCAACATATTTTACAGTGTGGAAGCTTGATTAAGATGATGAATTACATGTTTTCTTCAGAAGGTTACAGTAAAGAGATAATGAACAGTCTGAGACGTGATCTGTGTGAATCTGTACAGAGTTGTTCAGCATCATCTTTAACTGCTGAAAGGATGTTGCAGGAGTTTGTGTCAGAATCTGAGGAAACCTGGCTGAGCTTTCATTGGTGATCTGATACTACAGCGACGTTAAAAATTAGTCAAAGAGAGTAAATGAAGCACCTGAGGCTCGTTCATGAACACATTCACTCTCTCTCACTCCATTCATGAGAGTTATCAGCGTTTAGGGATATAAATCTGTGTGTCTTTGTCTCTCTCTGGTTCTCTCTCCTCGACAGCACATTCCTCTCAGATCATGTGTGAGATCATATTCAGTCTCATCTCAGATTAGCTGGAGCTCAATGATAGCTCAGCAGATACACACGCTTGTGTAGAGATGAGCTTCTCCTGTAGAAATATACCTTCAGCATGTATAATGTCAGTGTATCTAGCAGCTCAAGCAGTGAGCTCAGTCTCAGACTCTAAAGAGACAGCATTAGAGAAGTTGCTCATATGTTGCTCAACGGCGCCTCTAGTGCTTCTCTAATTCACTGCATGATGATGAGAACATCTGAGAGAACAATAAAGAATAGGCTACATCAAAAGGCCATAAGGAGACAAACTAACAAAGCTTGTTTCCACCACACCTTAAAATAAATAAATAAATAATTTATTGCACAATTCTGACTTTCGTTTGCAATTTTGAGTTCATATCTCACATTTTTTGACTCTTTTTCTGTCAATTCTAAATTTAATCTCATGATTGTGACTTTTCCTCTCACAATTCTGTTTTTCATAATTCTGAGTTAAAATCTCACAATTGCAAGACATAAACTTGAAATTGTGAGAAAATGTCAGAACTGAGAGATGCAATTAAAAATGCAAAAAAAAAATTTGGCAAAAAAAAAAAAAAAATTGTTCTCTGGACCAGGAACGACTTCCTACAATGTAAGTCAGTAAGAAAACAAGCAGAAAAACTCACTGAGTCCATAATTAACAATAATTAAAACAAACTGCAAATGACTGTTAGGAAAACAATAACATCCACAAAATGTTTAAAGAATTGTAGTTGCTGAATTTATTTGTAACAATAACTTTAAAGTTACTTATTGTTACTACAGTAAAACAGAGATTATTTTTCTAGCCACCAGAACCATCAAAAATAAATAATTATTAAATATAATGACAAATACTGTGAAAGTGTCTAACATAGCAGTAATTTTAGTATTCAATATACTGTATACTATTATAGTTAAGTCGTGGCCTAATGGTTAGAGAGTCGGACTCGTAACCCAAAGGTTGCGGGTTCGAGTCTCGTACCGGCAGGGATTGTAGGTGGGGGGAGTGAATGTACAGCACTCTCTCCCACCTTCAATACCACGACTGAGGTGCCCTTGAGCAAGGCACCGAACCCCCAACTGCTCCCCGGGCGCCGCAGCATAAATGGCTGCCCACTGCTCCGGGTGTGTGTTCACGGTGTGTGTGTGTGTTCACTGCTGTGTGTGTGCACTTTGGATGGGTAAATGCAGAGCACTAATTCCTAGTATGGGTCACCATACTTGGCCACATCTCACTAGTTTATAGTTAATATTTTAAATTAGCTGTTATTTTTATACTTTCCATTTTCATTTCAGAATTCAGTTATTTAATGATTTATTTTCAGCAACAGAGCAGCAGCAGGTAGACAGCTGTCAAATATGAGCGTGCTGTTTCACACTGAAAGACTTTCTTCTGTAAAGAGCATCATGGTGTTTGTGTTTGTGCTGATTTGTGTCTGCAGGTGGCGCTGTTCTGTGAGTCACACCGGGCTCTTCGACAGAAATTATGTGGCTCTCTCAGCCTTTACCTTTACCAACAAATCATCCAGAAAACATCAGACGTTTAGCTTTCTGTAGAAAAACAGACAATTACAACTCATTTGTTGTACAGCCAATAATGAAAAGTTTAAAAGAATAATATATTTACAGTTGTACAGCTAAAGTGTGTGTTTAGTGCTGTTCACGAATGTCATGACCAGCGGTGGTTATAGAGTGAGTAGATATCCGGGGCTTACAGACATCCATACAGTACCCTGCACTAATATTGGCACTCTTGATAAATATGAGGAAAGGCTCTTTTTCTTTTTTTTTTACAAAATTCTAACCTTTCATTAAAGTAAAACAATTGAATGTGGGGGTCAACTTACATTATGAAATCAATCTCCTTCTCTAATGCATGTTGGCCACAATTATTGGCACCCCTAGAAATTCTTATGAGTAAAATATCTCTGAAGTATATTCCCAGGGAGTGATTTGCCCTGTATCCATACCTCTGCTGAATTATTCTTATCACCGGTGGGGACAAGATTTATCATAGTAATTAATACTTCCTTAGAAAAAGCTTATTTAAAATGCCTAAAATATTAAATTATTTTAAAAATATATCTGAAAGGCTGTTAGCGTGAACAATAATAAAACAAGAAATGGACTTTCACGATCAGTCCTGCTCATGTGACAACAGAGCTGAGAAAACCGCAATCCTCTTCCAGTGGCCTTCCATGCACGTCTTTTCGAAATTGATGCATGACGCTTTGCAAAATGGAGAGAGGGTCGATAGAGGCTTGCTGGGTCAATTCAGTGTACAGCTTGCTCTGATATTAGAGATTTAGGGCCATATACAAAAGAGAGGCTTCACATTGATTCTGCATTCATTAACGGCATAAAAAAAATAAACATCAGAAGTGCCAGTCCCATGTGAAGTGCATAGAAATTTAGCAGGGAAGACAAGAGACCGCAATGGAAAGCAGTTCAGCGCTGTGGACAAAGCATAATGAGAAGAGTTTAAAAGCAACTGAAAATTGCATGTGTACAGTATATGATCTTCCAAAACGACCTCTCAGTTAAAATCCAGCCACGGCTGGTAGAACTGCAACAACTCAATGGCGTAAACCTGGGAAACATGCTTCATTCTGACAAGGCTTGTCGTAATATGCTCATGTCTATTGAAGGAAAAAATGACAGCTCAGTTAGTGAACTTCATCAAAAAGTTAGCTGAAAAATGCAGTATTCTCACTAATGAGAGCGCGTCTATGTCAAATAAAGCATGCCTGATCAGCTACATTAGAGTTCCTTATGAAGGTGAGATCTACTTCTTTCATCTTGTTGATCAGGGGCCATATGTATAAAGGCGCTCAGAGTAAAATTTTAATCTTAAGTATGTCAAAATTCTAAGAATGATGTAATTTTACTCTCATTCCTAGACTTAAGAATAAGAGTGATTCATAAAGGATTCCTAAGTGTTAAGATTAGGTCTAAGCTCCTAAATTATTTAAGAGAGCTGAAGAGGTCTCCTAACCTAGTTAGGAGTAACAAGATGGCAGCAAAGAGGAGGAGACACACACTTTCCAACGAAGATATGACGTATTGGAGTTACAGTATATGATAATACGGAGCTGATAAAACGATACAAACTTGATCGTTATGATAGTCTTTTTTTTGTAACTGACAAAGTAAGACATTTAATAACTTCTTCCACTCTACAAATCAATGCTCTAACTGCAGAAGTGATTACATTTTTTTGGGCTGGAAAATTGGAAAAATGCAGCAATGCACCAGTGATGACACAGTAAGCAGGGTCTAACATATTGTGGCACTAAACCCACCAATCACAACAATGGCCAAACGTGATGTTTGGAGGGGTTTTTATGACCCCGCATTTCACTTAAACCATAAAAATATAAAAAAAAATATGAAGGGGAAAAAGAACACTGACCAGTGTTGCCAACTGCTTTTAATTGAAAGTAGCTAAAACAGTCGGTAAATGTTGCTAGATTACATCATAAAGGCGAGTTCACTGATCTATATAAATATAAATAGGTGGAAGATTCTCGGAATCTAGATATGTCCAATAAATTGTCTCAAAAGGGGTGAGGAAGTCACTAAATCTAGTGACAAAATCACTAAATTGGCAACATCGACAATGGCTACAACATAATCAGTTATTAATATTATGTTGGTCCTCTCTTGTTTTTGCATGTGTTCATAATTTCTTTGTATGACAGAATGTCCAAAAATTATGACCACACAATTTGGCATGTTTCATTGCATTATTATAACAAATAAAACAATTGACTCTAGGCAATATGCTTACAAAACCTTTAACACATTTGTTTTTTTTAATTAAGTGTGAATTTCCTAGGCCGGACATCACTTTTGTCCACAACTATATGGTCCACAACTGACCATCAAACCATGCTGAAAAAACAAGCCATTTTATGAGGATTGTGGGCTTTCCTAGAGAGAATTGTTGGAGCCATGATTAATGGAACTCATGTTCACATCATTGCTCCAATTGTAAATGAGGAGACACACCGATAAAAAAACATTTCAAGGCAACAGTAATAATTTGTGATAATTTTGCTCAGTGCAAAGCATTAAAAAAAAAAAAGTCCTTAGTTCACAACACTTAAGTGTCACCTCAGTCAACACTTAAGAATCAGTCATAGACTTTACTGAAAGTTGTTTTTACTTCTTTATAATAGTCTCCTACTCTTAGAAAAGTCCTACTTTTTACTAAGAATTTTTTGATGCTTAAGTCAAA